TCAAATTCTGGAAACTGCAATGATAAGATAAGCAACAACATCCATGTAATCAATCCTAATAGGAATCATCCGATCAAGATCAATTCCGCGAATTCCTTTGACATAGCCTGTACCTAATTCCTAATACACAACTCCCAGTAATGCTGAGTATATGGCGCAAGATCTGGGTGTGTCACGATTTATCTCGTATCCAAACAAACTTTCTGTCCAATAAATATACTGGAGAGAGTAAACAATTTATACGCCTCAATAAATATAATTTGAACGCGGAGGTTGCGTAAATTATATTAATAATTGTAGATAAAAAGGTTAGTTATGGCTGAATAAATATAATATTCAAGCGATAATTGCGATGCTGTAGCGAAAACACTTTAATTAATCTAGGCAAATATTATCTTTCTAAATAAGGAAGAGGTAAATTGAGAAATGATGTCGGAACATGAAAAGAAACAATACAAAATCCATCTGTACTATGGTACAAGTTTCGTCCTCAAAATTTGTAAGAATCCGAATTAAAAAGACTAATCTTTATCAAGATCTCCATACTACTGACCACTGAGTGTCCATTACAGTCACGTAATATAAAAGTGTGATATTAAACAAAATGGCCGTGGCCAATCCATTTGTTACACTCATTACCGATGCTGATCCCCTAGGATACGGGGCGCTTGTCCAGCCTCTAAGAAGATTAACTAGAACAGACCAATAAGTTATTAATAATACTTTGGGACGTCCGGGGGAGTTAACTGAGGCCTAAAACTTAATAATTACCTTAAGACGCTAACACTTCTAATTCCAAAGCCGTATTGGGAATTTATAATGGGCGTCTGTTCTCCCAATATTTCTACTTTTAATGGCATTTCAAATTATATTACGTAAGGAGTTGATATAAGCTGTTAAGTCGTTCTAATAATAATTCATAATTATCTTGTTGTACACTTTTGAAAGTAGGTCTGAAAGTTAGACTCATACAATATTCGTCTATCAACAAAGACTGGCAAGATTGTTTGCAAATTCAAAAAAGCGTTTGTAAGGTAACTAACAATCGTAGGTGTGTGGTATACTGGATTGCACCATCATAATTTGACTTGAAAGTCAAATTATGATGTCCTATGGCTGAAATGATGATGATGATGATGATTATAATATTTAGAACTTCGAATTACAAAAAGTTAGGACACATAAAAATGTAAAAGGAAAGTTCCTGTATCAATACGTCTCTAGAAAATCTATTCATATTGCTAATGAGTGAGATGGGTTTATATGCAGTGGAACTGCACTAGGTTGAAATGAAGAAACATCATCTTGCTTGATGAGTTACGAGAGTTTAATTACACGCACATACCCCCCGTGAGATGGTTTATTTCGAATACATCTTCGCATATCTTAATGCTGCATAGTTCCTGTTAGTCTTCATCAAAGCCTCGTTTAGATTCAGTGTTTCATTATTAATCATAATCGAAGTAATATTCAATTCCGTTTCCTGACATGTTATAGTCATCGTTCAACAGTATCTAAATTAGCAGTGACAACATTATGCAAATGGACACGACAGCCTTTTTGTCATAACATCAAAAACTAAGTAGATAACGGAACGGAAATAAAAGATACCTATTTTTTGTTCAGCGCTTCCTCGCTACCTTTACGATGTCGTCCGTCCACCTTGTAGGTGGACATTCCACGCTGGGCGCAGGCCGCTACCAATCGATTAACCAACATAGAAAGCATTGGGGGAGGCCTATATTCAGCAGTGGACGTCCTATGGCTGAAATGTTGATGATGATTGTTTGTACTTTACAGTTAAGTTTATTAAGAAAGTTATGATTCATTCTGAACTACACCAAGCAAGTCCACGCTCACTTGAGTGACAAACGTAAAGGAGGCACGACGGCAGGCGAGGGCCAACCCAACTGACCGGTATAAATGGGAGACATCCATCTAGCTCCTCTCCTATTTCAATATACGCGAGCGGCTCATACGATATCACATTTAAAAACCAACAATATTTCACAGCTAATTTAGGAAAATTGTCAAGCTAAAGGACAAATAGCCTAAGGTTTAACAAGCAGTAACAAAATATGCGCGATGATGCTACACCAAATTAACAATCAACAGTCTAAAAACTAAAGTGAAAATACTTGCAGAAATAATTTGCATTAACATTCTAATAGCCAACATTTATTCCCATGTATAAAGGACAGTGCCAATCCATGTATGGAAGTTGGACCAAGTGCTGCCCAGAATGAAACCATAGTGCATTTTGTTCCTCAGGCCAATACTAATTTGTAAACCGGAGCGCACTGTAATCTATCCCTGGAGTTAAGAGAAAAAAAGAGTTTTGTTTTGAATTATTTACATACAAAATATCATCGATGTATACGTACTACGCATAAGATTTCGCGATTTTGGCATTAAATAACACTCGCTATGTTGAAAGTAACCATACTGCATCCGTACACCATACTTTAGTACGACATCGACATTCTTTATAAGCGATCAAGCGCTGTTGCAGTAGTTTGGTTAGTTGAAAAAATTAATTATTTCCAAAATGGAGCAAGAAGTTTTAGCTTACAATAACTTCAATAATCGATTGTAATACACCAATAAATTGTTTTATTGCAAGGATAGAGAACTAAAACTTGTTGCTTCATTTTGGAAATATTAATTTCTGTCAACTTACCAAACAATCAAAACAGCGCTAGATCGTTTTTAAAGAATGTCTAAATCGCACTAAAGTAACGTGTACAGCAGTATGGTTAAGTTCAACATAGCGAGTGTTATTTAATGCAAAAATCGCGAAATCTTATGCGTAGTACGTATACATCGATGATATTTTATATGTAAATAATTCAAAACAAAACTCTTTTTTTCTCTTAACTCCAGGAATAGATTACAGTGCGCTTCGGTTTACACATCAGTATAGACCTAAGGAACAAAATGCACTATGGGTTGATTCTGGGCGACACTTGGTCCATACCCTGGCACTATCCTTTCCAATTCGCCCATAAACAGATTTTAATCTCAAAAATAACTGCTCATTCGTAATCTTAATAACAAATCTCCGCTACAAATTCTCGTTGGCCTATTACAAATAGTATTGGGATTCAATTAGCCGAGACTTCTCTGGCATTAATTGGAGTGTTTCTGACTTGGAACGTTAGATGTTGTCTAAGAACTGGAAGTGTCCCTTCTGCCAGAATTTTTAAAAGTCCCGAAAGATCTGATCAACTTTGAAGATTTTTCTGCCTAGAACTATCTAGGCACTATAACTATCTAGTATACTAATACTTCCTCGCAGTGCTATCCACGCCCACAGAAGCATACAATGTTCTTTCCAGCTATTTTATTCCGCGATAGAAGATTAATATTGTTCATAATATCGCACCGGCAGATAGCCGACTAGATATGGAGGTGTATCCGAAGGGCGGAGTTGGGACTAACGTGCAGTTTAAAGACAAGAAATAAACAATAATTTGTTTGTGGCTGCGGTATTGATACTGGCATTACATTGTATGGTTTGGTTACTGAATAAAATAGTTTTACATTATTTTATCACATTCATCAAAATTATATTCAGTGTCTCAATTTTAAATCATACTCTACATTTTATTATACATTTAGTACTTAATAAATAAAGCGAATCTGTAGTAATCTCTTCTGAATTTTGGATTAGTTTCTCTAATTTTCAGACACTGTCATATTATGTAACGTTCTAAAAGGTGCTATATCTATCAAAAACATAGTTTGATGTAGGTACCATTGACTGGTACTTGTAACGGGAATTTGTTCATTGGTAAAATTTTACATGCATCTCTTGCTTTGGCCATGTAAGTACCAAGATTTCAATAAACCATTGTTCACATTACTTATGGTAATAGAAAACCGCAGACATGTTGCTTCGGAACCGCAACACAGATTTACCTCGACAAACAGAATGAAGCGCAGAAGCGTCACGAGCGAACCACCTCTCAATTGCTAAAACAAAGAACGCCGATATTATTCGGGCTAGGGCTACCGTTACAATGCAACTATGGGCCCTTACTTCTGGAAACACGATGCTATGTTTTTCAAAACAAAATTAGAAAATCGAAGAATGGGATATAAATTGTTATTACTAAGAAATAACAAATGAAGATAAAATAACGAGACGTTTTAAAATCGAGCTATGAGTATTTCAGGCGGATGAAGGAGAAGATAAAACAAAAGTTGACAATAGGAATATTCTTCAAGAACCAACACCAAGTACCTACACGAAACGAGGTAGGGTAACTGTCAAAAAAAGTCCTCACACAGTAAACAAGTGCCCTTCATTACAAATGTAGAGTTGAGTCTTATCTATTGGGTGAGATTGTAATCCAGATTCCAGAGCAAGCTCTGTTAAAAACTAAACGCCAAAAACAAAAAACAATAAAACGTGAGATGCTCTATTGTTTCTACCAAATCTAATAGTAGGGGGTTCGGAACGTGAAGGCGCAAGAAGTAGATACCGGGCTCTTATAAAGACATGTTCGATTTAAAATTCACTCCCGCTACAGCAAAAAATAGGTCTCGAATGTGCAGGCATTATGCAGGCGTGCCGCACGACCGTGTAGCGAGCTGCGCGGGCGCACAGTCTGTGGACCGGGCGCCTGCCGCGAATCGTAGTAACACATCAATTGTTAATGAACGAGGAAGAGGTTTACTCATTTAGTAATGGTGAGATTCTGCGAATTTAGGTTTTTAGTCTAGCAAAATTAAGGTTACATTTCAAAAGTGGGTGGAAATTGGCTTCAAAAACGAAAATAAACATGAGAAAAATGTAGAGACTTTACGATATACAAAAGTATACTTTCATTATAATTTATGGCAAAAATTAAAGATGCGACTGTAAAATCATAACTTTGATTTCACTACATTTACTAGAATGCACAGGAAGCTAGTCGTAATAACATTTCTTCGAACTGTTATTAACAGGCTGTAAAATGACATTAAATATAAAATAAAGTTAGTTAAACACTAACCATTGACGTACCGTTTCAGCATCACGAGAGGTCCCGGTCTCCTGTTTTTCACTGCTATCTGTAACAATAGGGATAAAATTATTTTAGTAAATACGGGTAAGTATTGCACCCACTTAAATTCCATTGGCACCATCATCGTCCCTTATTTGGATCCAGAGACCATAGAAGGACTCAACTGCCTAAAATAAACGTTTGGTTGGAGAGTGTTATCGAAAGAATTCAAGTTAGATTGCATAGGGTTTATGTGGGAAGTAATATCCGAACTAATATCTATGCAAATACCGTGGACCAATACACGAGTTTATCAACACGACTATCGGCTACGTGTAAATTGATATCGGAACTTCGTTCAACAAGATTAGTGAGTTAAATCAACAGTAGCGAACAACATAAAACTGATGTATTATAATAGCAGGAGTAAGTTTAAGTGACATGATGAAAATGACACAATGCTCATAATAAAAAACCAATAAAACAAAGACTTTGAGCTGAAACGAGAGTTTTAGTAGACGAAAAATGGAAAAAGTATCTACAGTCGATTGCTTATTGAAATTCTTTGATAGCTCACTCTCTGAATCGTAAGACGAAACTTCTACATAAAGTCCTAAAGTTATTTCTTCTGATTGAAGTGTAATGTAATATCATAAAACAGACGGCTGAAGAAATAGAAAGGTGTAGATCCCTGACATACTAAACCCGCCATATTTGTAAGAGCAATAAAGCATTTTATTTAACAGAAGCATCTTAAGATACAGGCTAAGATTTAAGACGAAGCTTCTCCAATAACTACACTTATATCACACACTGAAATGCATATTATGTTTTACAACAAATAATAAATAGGGGAGCATCAACAGCAAGTTGTCAATGGAGTCTCTGACAAATAACTGAAATAGTGCAGAATGTTAGAAAAAGGGAACAAAAAATAGGGTTGGAATTTATTACTGTCCTGATACTTAATAAAATAACATTTTTTTAGGAAATATTTGTGATAATAAAGTAAATCTCCTTCGTTTATCAGATAAAGATCGACCTCTTAAGACCTACGTTAACGATATTACTTGTCACGTCTCGAATACCAATAACTATGCCTCAATAGAGGCAGTTTAATTGTACGGAAAAATGGCATTCCCGCGGCTTATGGCAACGCAATCGAACTATAAATAACATTGTGTAACAGACCAATAAACCGAGACTATCAATAACCGTCGTATATGGGTTAGATGTAATTTGCAACGTTCAACCCAACCTTTAGTTTGGAATTATGCGTGAAATACCCGGTATCTGACATCTTTTAAATGCCTCTAACAATCTCTTTCAAAAGTTCCCGAAGAGCAACTCAATTGCAATTGCTCTCGAATTGATCGACATCTCGTTCGTTGGCTGTTACAAAACGAATTATTATTGCGCTACTTCTTGATCATAATATTATGCTATTAGAATATCTTCCCATAGTTTTAACAGTTCTAATATAGCGCAGATCTATTGGTACTGGGAGTCTGGGACCCGGACTGGGATCTTGGATATCGTTAATTAATCAGAATAATTTGCTTAATTTGGTCTACATACTTGTTTAATTTGGTCGGAAGACCCGAATAGCACCTACACTACATTGAGCTTCAACCGAACGAATGCTCAGTAGTTTTAAAAAAATCGATAGATGCTGGGAATAAAAAATACTTGCAAGTTCAGATTTGCACAGGGAGTTGATGATATCCTATTTCTTTAACTTTTGCAACATATTTCTCCCACGACCCCAAAAGCATATATCACGTCCGAACACTACAGGAATCTTGCTTCTCACCAAGGTACACAAATAAGAAGCCGAGCCCAGTAGCAATATCCCACAAACTTACACGCACCAGGGGCAGTGTACATTTCGTATTTATTTATTTAGCCCGCGCCCGCAGTCTCACGACTCAATCTAATAAATAGCACCGGTATTACTGAGATATTCAGTAATAAGATATCCGGTAGCGAAATATACTTTGGCCGCGTACGATAATAGGAAATTATTGAGACGCCACAACGAATAAAGTGGATAATTCGAATTTAAGAGTCCTATATTCCGTTTGTTGGTGAGAAATAAGGCCCTTGAATTGCAAACGTTTAATTTCAGGACACTTGACGTTGAACCTTTGAAATGTGTGTTTTGATAATAAATCGCGGAATTAAGTCCGACTTTCTGTGAAGACGACGATTATTATGTTTTTAAAGCGTAAGGACCTACATCATCATAAACCTTTTGAAACCGTTTTTGCGACAGACGGACGTAATTTAATAGACGGTAATGTTATAATAACACTGACTATAAGAGCAGAATAATTAGGTAGTCAATGCTTAGAAAATTCCTATTAAAGTCTGAAGGAGATGTGTAATTCCATTTGTATGTACGGGAAAATAACAGTCAAAGCTTTCATAAAAAATTGTTGACAAATCAATGGTTTTTTGTGTATGGGCTTAAGCAGGTCCTGCTGCTCAATAAATTCGATAAAAATAATGATGCACACTTTATAGAGTGTTCTACATTAACTACGTTTAATTAGGTTTCCGAATCTAGAACCAGGTAGACGTCGCGAACTTGATGAAGTCTACATTCAGTGAGATAGCAAATTCCATTTAAATGACTCCAGTACACGAGTAGAAAGTGTTCTGGCGTAACGACAGGCTGTCACGCCACAGTTGAGTTACTGAGACAATGTGGTCTGTGCCACACAATCGTGTATTAATTTAGAAGAAGCCAGGGGCTCGGTCACGCAGCGGTACCGTTCCCTCCCGAGGCTATAGTCCGAACAATTTCGAAAACAAGCTCCTATTTGGGACGGTAGTGAGCTAGTGACTAGAGCGAGGCGTTCCTCAATCAATGATAGCCGACGCACTGCTCGGACTCAATCAAACGCTAATTGCAATTAATCTGTAATCAATTTTAATGTGGGATTAACTGGATTAAGGGCAATTAAGCTTTATGGAAATCTCACGAGAAGAATTGACAATAAAATTAAAACGGCACCTGCACTGTTAAATTATACAGCGTTATTGCACTGTAAGTGCTAGGAAGACGATGCTGATGTGATAATAAATGGAGTTTTATTAGCAAAAGCTTTGATGAGTCAAATGATGAGTATTAAACGGTGTGAATGCTTCCTTATTCGGAAGTTCATTACACATTACAGTAAATTTTAATCAACTTTTACTTCTCTGCTTCATTTGAGTGCGTTAGTTTAGTAGTAAAATTGTCGTCATCAACTGGGGGCTCCGCGAACTGAGTATTTTTCGTCGAATGCTAGTCAGAGTGAGCTTAAGCTAAAATTTTTGGTAGTGCAGAATAAAGGATGGAAAAAAATACTGTCGAAACAATGGCAAGGCATCCACTTTGTACATGCAGAGCATCGTCTTGGCACATTATTACTGGATCATAAACGCGTCTGGTTTATGTTCGGAGCGGGACTCACGATGGCAATTTCATAGGACATTTACCGGAGAAAGCCCGGACGATTTGTAGGGCTCAGGGCGGTAAGTGGCGGCCCTGATAGTAAAAACGTTGATGTGTCGCTAAAACAATTTGCAGTAAGCCCTTTGAACTTGAGGTAGCAGCCGACAGGAATTCAGGTTTTTGATGTTTTGTACCAGACTGCGGACTCGCTTATAAGTAGAGTTTTATTCAAAAACAGGAATTTCAATCTACTGTTGCTTATTTTCGTAGTCAAGGTTAATTTTCCAAAACATGTGATAAAAAATCAAATCATACCCATATGTTAGAAGTCGGAATTTCTAATTAACACATTTTTTGTTGATCGCAGCGAAATAATAGCAAAATAACAACAGTACATAATAAATTGTACCTACATTATAGCTGTTTAAATTAATTTTAAATTGATTTCATCACTTTTTTCACAAAGCAATCAACCGGCGCACACGCATAACATTCATCACGATGCATTTGATCGGGCGCAGGAGCTGTAAGTCGGCACAGTTAAATTGCCTGTAATTATTTTGTACTTAGAATAGGTAGTGTACAATCAATCACTTGCTTACATTAGTACCCTGCTGATTTATTTGCTATTACAAATCAGCAAGTTTAGTATTGATTAAAAAGGCACGTGTGGTGCACGTTCGAATATGATGAAATAGGTAGTGTATTGGCAGGAGTTTCTATAAAAACATTTTGAAACTTTTTACCCGACTGCGCCAGAAGGACAACAGTGAAATAGTTCCTTCAAAAGTTACGAAGTCTAATTCCACGAATTGCGAAACCACCTGCCACAAGTTCAAACCCGACAAGTAATCAAAATGCATGGTTGACATTATCTATTGGGCACTTCGCTCATTGTGACAGTCTACCATATACTCCTTCCTTTTCAAACAAAGTGTCAAAAACATGCAAACGAGTTCTCGGTATAATGTCTGTCGCAATTCACAAAATTCTCAGATTATTTTTGTGTTAAGACTCTCAATTTGCTGCAAAGATTTTAAAACAGTATTAATAATCTTAACATTATTTAACGACACATTTCCTTCCATCGGCCATTTTAAACCAATGCAGGATATGGAATATATTTAAATACTAATTAATATTAACATATGAATTTCCAAAACTTAACTTTGTATGTAAATGAGGACATTTCAAATGCACCTGCATGTGTGTTTTACTCCGTCACTAAGCATCCTTCTTTAGTTTCGTAGACATAACACAATTTGAATAACATAAATAACTTATAAACAGCTGGACAGTTATTAATTCAATCACTTTATTAAATTGGGAATTACCATGTGTTTTAGTGTTGCCAATGTTATGCGAACAAAGAAAAACATTTTTGCTATTCAAGACTCCAGTATATGGTCAATTTTTCCCAAGAAAACTCCCGTTAATTTGCAACTAACACGAATGAAGAAACTAGATTCCAACAACTCTATTCCGACACAGAAATTCAATTTATTCAATGGAAACAATATCCAAAGGCACAACTAATAACCTTTAGCAATAAAATTAAACAAACTCCATATCGGCGAAATCTAGACAATCCCACAATACAAACTGAGAGTCCGAATTACCACACA